TATAGGACATTATGCTGAGTGAAATTAGTTCATGACGAAAGGACAAGTACGGTATGAGACCACTATTGTGAAAAAGCAAGTAAAGGTTATCATATAAAAGAAACATTATTTGAAATACAATTTTTTTCCAAGAAACATTACTTGATAGTTACCAACATAGGGAGAGGAACAGAGGGAAAGTCACTGGCTAGAAGGCAGACAAAGGTTAACTTGGATGAAAGGGAAAGCAATACACAATATACAAAAGTAAATACTGTTATGTACACAATCCAGCAATAAGAATGATCTATGAGCAAATGCATTGGTAGACACAGAGGCTGACTGAGTGAGGGAGAGACCGTAAGAGGTATACTCAAGAATATATACAGATTTGACAAAAACAAAAGCAAACATTTGGGAGAATATCCATTTGTAGCGTCCCGGCCAGCGGCGCACGAGCGGGACCCTGGAGGGAAAGATGAACCTGGATGGAAAGAAAGACACGGAGACGTGGAGCAAGACAAATGCTGATCAAGCTCATTTATTTGGGCAAAGTTAGGGGAATATAAAGAGAAACTGGGAGGTGCATATTCTAATAAGGTGTACTGCACAACATCCAATCCAACATGTATATTATAATGAAGCATAAGAATGTTAACCAATCGGCTATCCATCATATTCTCAATATGGTATGTCTGTAGTCCAATGAGTGCTTAGTATTTCAACCAATGGGTGAAGGGTGGGGAAGATAACCAACCAAGGTCACGTAGCTGCAGAACAGTTACAGCTGCACAATAGTCAAAGAACACTTCGGGGGGAGGGGGGGTAAACACAAACTGCAAGCTGTCTCAGACATTTTCATAGAACAAGGAAGCTTTGGTGACTAAGATATCTTTTAAGGCAAAACCACCTGCCAGTAATTTTCCACTAGGGCCGGTCACTGTTTGAAGGACCTTGAGAATGTCTGCTAGGGCCGGCTCCCGACGTCCATTGGTATGTTTGTTCTTCAAAATTCATATTGGTCCACCTCTTCACCATGGAGGATCCTCTCTTAATGCTCTTTCCCCAATACTGCTCACATTTGGATGACTCACCCAAATTTCGCTTACATCAATTATATCTCCTTTCTATGGCACAAAGGATTTACTTGTGCTGGCTCATACCCCCAAACGAAAGATTCTAACACATTAAAATTTTTATGAAACCAAGGGAAGGGAGGGTTGGGGACAAAGGTCGGGGGGAGGGGGGGGACAGAAGAAGAGCTGATACCAAGGGCGCAAGTAGAAAGAAAATGTTTTGAAAATGATGACGGCAACATATGTACTGATGTGCTGGACACAATGGAGATAGGTATGGATTGTGATAAGAGCTGTCAGAGCACCCAATAAAATGATTTTAAAAGTTTTTTAATGAAACCTAAGGACTCAGGTAACAAAACCTATTCTTCTGTGAAGATGGTTTAGTGATCGTCATAAGTTTTTGAGAACACTTCTATCCCACGTGATAAAATGTAGTATTTCTACCAACCATTACTTCACAAGAAGAATTCTAGGGAATGGAATTACCTTCATCTCGTTTTTTAACAACAGAATTCCACCAGTGTAATACAATAGAAAGATAACTGATATTCCTAACCCCAATACACATTTAAAGCAAGATCTGAAGCTACATCTTAATTTCCAACTTTCAGAGAGTATAAATAAAAATCTTCTGTCAGAAGTGCTAGACCAGAAATGTCAAGAAGCAGGAACAACCATATTAAACCAATAGCCAAGGACTTTCACAGTAAGGACAGTACCTAAAAATGATTTCCAATACTCTTAAAGATTAACAATTGGTTTCTCTTTTTTTAAAACATTTTATTAGGGGCTCATACAACTGTTATCGCACTCCATACACACATCAATTGTGTAAAGCACATTTGTACATCATTCTCAAAACATTTTCTCTCCACTTAAACCCCCGACATTAGGTCCTCATTTTTCCCCTCCCTCCCCGCTCCCCCCTCCCTCATGAGCCCTTGATAGTTTATAAATGGGTATTTTGTCATATCTTGCCCTGTCCTTCCTTCTCTCTTTTGAGAAAGAACATTCTTTCACAATTCCACTCCTGGCTCCTTCCATATCCTCCTACAACAGCCTTTTGATTCTGGTTGACTTGTTACCGAGTCCACTTAGACTCACAATGAGCGGATAGGACAGAATAGAATGACCCCACACGGTTTCCTTGGCTATAATCTACATGGGAGTTGATTACCAGGTCTTTCCTTCTGTGAATCTGCCAGTGGGTTTAAACTTCTGACATTTTGGTTAGAGCCATTGTGCTATGAAAAACACCTATTTCCCCCTATTCTCTGGCTAGGGCTAGGAACCCATTGCCCATTCTGATGGGCTTTACCTTCAAGCCGGCACTGACTCGTGACAGTCCCATGTGTGGTGAGAACGCCGCCAACTGTGCTCCACGAGGGTTTCCACGGTTGCTTTCTCAGAAGTAGATCTAAGATCTCTCTCGGTGACCTCAAACGGTTAGCTTTTTAGTTAACAGTCAAGCACGTAAACCATTGGTTCCACCCCAAACCCAGGCAACCAGACCCATGGCAAGGGAGTCCACTGTGAGTCACAGCAACTCTGTATATCCGGTTTCTGAAACTGTAAATCTTTAGGAGAGCGGACAGTCTCAGCTTCTCCCCTCATAGTGGCTGATGAATTGCACGGTTGATATTGCAGTGACCAGTCACACATATAACCCACAGCACTGCCAAATCTTGGCAATACACAGTGACTCCCAATCTAAGGTTCTCTCCCTGCCATCCGGCCAGTTATGACTCCTAGCTACCCTGTAGAATAAGGTAGAACTGCCCTGTGGGAAAATTAGGTTAGGAGATGCTATTAATAAAATAAATACTTTATTCACATACTAACACTAGAATTTTAAAAGAGAGAATTTATAATAGTTTTAAGTTCCATTACAATTGTTACAGCTATTATTTGTTGCAACCATTACAACCATTATTTTGAAGGGGATACAAAACAGCATTGTTTATTATTTATTATTATTATGATTATTTTGACTCCACCCTGAAAGTGGGGGTGAAGGGGCTAGTTAACATATATCTCAGGTATTTATCTAATTTCTGCGTTTCTTGTGGAGTAGCAGAGCATCCAGAAACAGAGTATATGGTCCCTGATTGCCTCTTACCCATTAGCTTCCATTTAACCATCCATCATCTGCTCTTCATTTACTGGAACAGGCAGGTGTTCCCTGTCCCTGGGAACCCAATAAAAAGGACGTTTGACCACTCTCCTTTCAATTTTCAAACAGCCTTGGGGTGCATAAGCATTCATTCCACTGATACACTGCAGCTCCAGGTTCTGCCCAAGATCCCGCTGGCTCCTGGGACCACAAAACCATCCATCTGCTTCCGTATCGCACTCTGCCACAAGGGACTCCATTAGCCATTCAAACTCCTACATGTCTCGTCGTTCTTTGTCCACTGGGAACCCATCGCTATCAACTCTGCAATTCGTTCCCATCAAGTTACTTGCTCCTCTTCATTGGAGCGGAACCAGTCCCCTTTTCAGGAACTCAGCAGCGCACAAGTCCTCTCATTCCATTTGCCGCCTGGCTTTTCTGTTCCGCTCAACCAGAGGCCTTTTTTGATCTGAAGGCTAGAAGCTTTTCTCGAACCCATCATACATTCTTTTAAATTAGCTGTTGTGTCGTGAGCCCTCACAGCGTTTCATGCCAGCTAGTCAATTCTGACTCAGAGCGACCCCAAAGGCACATAGTAACCCTACCTCTGTGGGTTTCCAGTGTGCGATGCTTTTGAGGAGTAGAAAGGCTAACCTTTCCCTCTTGGAGCAGCTGGTGGTTTTAAACTGCTGACCTTATTGTTAGCAGCCCAATGCATAACCACTACACCACATAACCACGAGTGTTTAGTTAGGATTACATTTTTTTAAATCATATTTTATAATTATGTTGTTAATTACATTTTTAAAAATCATATTTTATAATTATTTTTAATCATCTTTAAAAATTAGATAATTAAAATAAAATCACATAGGAGTTAGATTTAGAATTTAAGTATATTTGTATATGTATATTAATATAGAAATTATATTTTTATATATAGATCCCTATCTGCCAGAGGAGTTTGTGGAAATAATTTTCCTTTCAAAAGATAATTTCTGAATCTATTATATTTTTGGTCAAGGATGATAAATTCTCTCTTCATAGTTTACATGGTTTGAGTATAAGTTTACTTTCTTGCCTGCATTTTCCTTGCTATAGGACCAAAAATATAATGGCAGAATGGAACAAGTTGTTCAAAGTGATTGTTCTTTTTCTTTTTAACTTAATTTTTTAAAAAGATTTAAAAATTTTTTGTTGAGGATTTTCTTATGTACAGGGGGGAATGAAAAGAAAAAGATCCATACGCCTCCTCAAGCAATTTATACTTAAAAAAATCAAATTCTAGGCATATGTGAAAAGTTAAATGGTAAGATAAGGGAGTCACTGAAAATGTTAGAAAATTATTCCAAGTGCATTAAAGTTTTTAAATGAGATTTCCAGAAAGCTAAAGACTTGAGTAGCTAGTAAATCTTAAGGAAGATTGTTTTCTGATGGATTTTTTTTCTATGGATAAACATTGTCCAATATAAAAAGAAAGAGAAGGAAACATTTGTCTGGAATTCAAGAAGCCAGAATTCTAATCCTGTCTTTGCTTTTTATAAGCTATATAAAAGGTATATGTTTATGTGCATGTTATCAGGAGAGAGCGGTCCCTGGAGAAGGACATTATGCATGCAGAGTGGAGGGGCAGTGTAAAAGAAGGCCCCTGACAAGATTTATTGACACAGCGGCTGCAACACTGGGCTCAAACATAGACACAATGTGACAATGGCACATGACGGGGTGGTGTTTCATTCTGCTGTACATAAGGTCACTGTGGGTCAGAACTGATGTCATGTGACAACAACAGCATGTATGTTTGTCCCGGTGTGCCTGCACATACTTACCCCTGCTTTCCTGTATGAGTCACTGGGGTGGACTGGAACAGAGGCGATAAAGATAAGAAAGAACTGGAGAGCAAGCCTGCAGCTGTCTGGCTTAGCATCTGCCTGTCATAGAGAGGGGGGGAAATGTACAGCTGTCACAAAAGTCAAAGAAATGCCTAAAGGGCATGAAGTTATAGAATTACATCCATACTCAGCAGCTGGTGAAGCCTAAGATGGTAACTTTTCCATATTTATTTGTTATATATTAATCTACTTAATATTTATCAAGCCCCCACAAAATGGCTAGAAGTTAGAAACAGAGATCGCTGGTACTGGAGCCAGCAGTGTTTTATAGACAGAACTCCTGTGGGCAATCAAGCTTGATTGTATTGACTTATTGTATTAGTGAGTGCTAATTTTGAGACTGGAATCCTTGGAGACAGAAGATGTTGGGTATATAGGTGGTTTCTTCTATAACTCTCACCATCAACATCTCCATAGAAACTACTGGGCAAATTAACTACGAATGAAATCAAAATAGATGCTTTAGAGCTGACGGCCGTCTGAGAGACCCAAAATATGTGCTCTCTATCGTAGTGGGTAAAAAGGACAGAATAGTCCCTAACACCAGTAAGTCTAGAACAGACGATTAGGAGATGGGCACACCCTAAGAAAGTGATACTAAGTAGGGGGACCTTCTCCTTTCATTGCCCTCTACCCCTATTTTCTTTTTGCACATACTCTTTGGCATGCAATTATTGAAGCCTGCTATTCAATAACTCTGGGAGAGAGGGACTTCGGGGTTTCTTATTCATGGTATAAACAGAACATGTATGTATGTATCCATAACATTTCATCCAAATAGAAAGTACCGAAATCTTTAAGAACACTGCAAAAACACTACTCAGAAGGCAGTTTATAGTCAATAACTGGACACATCAAAAAGACAGAAGAAATTCAAACAAACACATTAACACATCAACTATAACCACTGGGGAAAGAACAGCAAAACTCAGATACTAGAAAAAGAGAAATAATAAAATTTAGAGCAGAAATAAATGATTCACAAATTTTTAAAAAACTATAGAAAAAATCAAGACAAGAGCTGGTTCTTCAAAAAGATTAAAGAATTGATAAACCACTGGCAAACATAAAAAATAAGAAAAAGCAAACCCTATGAATAAGTGATATTACAACAGAACCAAATGAGATAATAAATGACACAGAGTACTACAAAAATTGTATTCCAACAAATTTGAAAATCTAGAAGAAATGGATAAATTTCTGTATATATATATATTAATTACTTAAATTATCACAGACTGGGATAGAAAATCTCAACAAGTCTATAAAAGAAGAATACCAAGTAAATGAATCTGATCATAAAATATCCACATCAAAAAGTCTGAGACCATATGGTTTCCCTGGGGAATGCTATCAAACATTTAGAGAAGACAACACCAATTCTACATGAACTGTTTCACAATATCCAAATGGGCAATATTCTATGAAACTCTAGCTTTGATACCTAAGCCAGGAAAAAGATATCACCAGAATTGAAAATTACAAGCTAATATCGCTAATGAATATAGATGCCAAGATTTTGATAAAATTCTAGCCAACAGAATTCAATGAAACATTAAAAAAAACCACGATCAATTGGAATTCATACCAAATATGCAAGGATGGTTTATCGTTAGGAAAACAATCAATGCAATTTGCCAAATAAACAAAATAAAGCAGAAGTACCGTATGATTATATCAATTGATGCAGAAAAATTCTGCATTAATTTGATAAAATCCAATGCCCATTCCTGATGAAAGTACCCCATAAAATATGAAGAGAGGAGAAATTCCTCAACATATTAAAGGTCATATATGCAAAACCAATGGCCAGCATCTCACTTAATAGAGAAAAATTTTAAACATTCTCTCTCTTCAAATGGAAACCAGAGAGGGTTGCCCTTTATCACCTCTTTTATTTAATATAGTCTCAGAAGTTTTAGCTAGTGCTAAAAAACATTAAAAAGATGTTAAAGGCATCCACACAGGCACAGAGGAAACAATACTCTCTTTATTTGCAGATAATATAGCAATCCTATATAGAAAACCCCAAAATTCCATTTTAAAATTTCTGAACTTAATTGAAAAAATTAGCAGCATATCAGGTTATACAATCAAAATATAGAAATTCATTAGATTCTTGTACATTAAAGATGATAACACTGAAAAATACATTAAAAGAATAATACCATTTAGAATAACTACACAAAAGCAAAAAACATTAGGACTAAGTCTTACTAGAGACACTAAAAACTTATTTAAGGAAAACTACAAAACACTCCTACAAGAAACCAAAAGAAACTTACACAATGGCACAAACTACAATGTTCCTAGATAGTTAGACCAAACAGGCTTGAAGGTAATCAAGCAGCCATCAAGCTCAGAAGCAACAAAGCCCACATGGAAGAAGCACACCAGCCTATGCAACCACGAGGTGTCGAAGGGATCAGGTGTAAGGCATCATCAGAACAAAAAATCTCACCATAGTGAATGATGGGGGGAGTGTGGAGTGGAGATCCAAAGCCCATTAGTAGGCCACTGGAGATCCCCTTGCAGGGGGGTCTCGGGGAGGAGATGAGGCAGTCAGGGTGCGATGTAACAACGATGAAAAATACAACTTTCCTCTAGTTCCTAAAGGTTTCCTCCCTGCTCCCAATACCATGACTTGAATTCAACCTTGCAAGTCTGGCTAGACCAGAGGATGTACACTGGTACAGATAGGAACTGAAAATACAGGGAACCCAGGATGGATGAGCCCTATAGGACCAGTGGTGTGAGTGGCGAAACAGGGAGGGTAGAGGGAGAGTGGGTAGGAAAGAGGGAACCGATTACAAGGAACTATATGTGACCTCATCCCTGGGGGACGGACAACAGAAAAGTGGGTGAAGGGAGACGTCGGACAGGGCAAGATATGACAAAATACCCATTTATAAACTATCAAGGGCTCATGAGGGAGTGGGGAGCGGGGAGGGAGGGGAAAAATGAGGACCTAATGCCGGGGGTTTAAGTGGAGAGAAAATGTTTTGAGAATGATGAGGGCAATGAATGTACAAACGCGCTTTACACAATTGATGTGTGTATGAATTGTGATAAGAGTTGTATGAGCCCCTAATAAAATGATTTAAAGGAAAAAAAAAGAAGCCCCCGGGAGAGAAATAAAAATTACCAATGATACATAAGAGAAAGGGCTTATCTCCAAAAATCTATACAAAATTACAACATGTTAACAAGAAAATACAAATAATCCAATTTTATAAATGGCACAAGGCATGAATAGACAATTTACCAGAGACAACATGCAGGTAGCCAACAACCATATGAAGAAACATTTGTGTACATTAGCAATGCAAATTAAAACAACAATGGGACACCTCACATCAATACTTTTAGCAAAATTCAATAAAACAAAATAATCAGTGCTGGAGAGGGTATGGAGAGAATGAAATGATCATACATTACTGGTAAGACTGTAGAATTGTGCAACCACTCTGGAAACCAATATGATGCTTTTTCAAGCAAATGCAAATACAATTACCTTATGATTCAGCAAGCTCTCTACTGGGTATAAACCCTAAAGAAATAAAGAATATAACACCAATAACCATATGCACACCAATGTTTACAGCGACAATTTCCATAATAATAAAACACATGGAAACAACCAAAAATTCTGATTATACAGAATGAACAAACTCTTATACATTCATACAATGGAATATAATGGATGCATCAATAAAAATAATGACAACTCTAAAACACAAAAGACAGACAAAACTAGAGAATAATATACTTAGCAAAAATTAGTCTCATAAAGATAAATATTTAATAACACCACATTATAAGGAAAAACAAAGAAAAAGAAAAGTGGTTTTTAACCCAAAATATAAGACTTTGAAGAATAAGAGGAGGCCAAAGATGGGAATGAGGACAGGAAAGAGGAAGGGACAGGAAATTATAGAGGGAGGGAGGAAAGATTGAAGGGGAGAAAAAAAAGTGCGTGAGAGTACTACATTTATGGCAGAGTGGGGGATGTTAGTGGGATATTTTTATTGATTTAACTTCCTGAGATGGGCTCTGCAATGCAACCATATAGAATATTCTTCTTTTTAAAACCAGAATAAATATAATTAATTACTTCATTAAAATGAAAGTGAAAATCAGGTATCAGGCATCTAAGAACAAAAATCAAATCATTGTGAATGAGGGAGACTGCAGATTGGGGACCCAAGACCCATCTGTAGGCAACTGGACACCCCCTTACAGAAGGTTAGTGGGGGAGGAGATGAGCCAGTCAGGGTACAGTGTAGCAACGATGAAACATACAATTTTCCTCTAGTTCCTAAATGCTTTCTTTCCATCCCCCCACCACCCCCGCTATCATGATCCCAATTCTACCTTACAAATCCGGCTAGACCAGAGGATGTACACTGGTACAGATAGGAAATGGAAACACAGGGAATCCAGGGTGGATGAACTCTTCAGGACCAGTGGTGAGGGTGGCGATACTGGAAGGGTGGAGGGAGGGTGGGGTAGAAAGGGGGAACTATTGCAAGAATCTACATATACCCTTGCTGGGGGACGGATAACAGAAAAGTGGGTGAAGGGAGATGTCGGACAGTGTATGAAAAGACAAAATAATAATGATTTATAAATTATTAAGGGTTCATGAGGGAGGGGGGAGTGGGAAGGGATGGAAAAAATGAGGAGCTGATACCAAGGGCTCAAGTAGAAAGCAAATGTTTGGAGAATGATGATGGCAACAAATGTACAAATGTGCTTGACACAATGGATGTATATATGGATTGTGATAAGAGTTGTAAGAGTCCCCCAAAAAATGATTTTTAAAAAATCCATCCAGATTCCTTACCCATCAGATATAAATACTGATCTAGTGCCTAAAAAGGGGAGGAAAAGTAAAACTTAATGGAACTTGGAATCTTTAGTGACATACAAGTTCATTTTAAACATAGGAGAAAAGAAATAAAACATTGCATTCAGGGATGGGATTTTTAACCTTGTAGAACCTTGGATGGCAAGGATGTTTTCAGTTCCACTCACTCCTTGCTTATTCTGTGGGTAATAAATATGTTATCGTGCCATTAGAGCAGCGTCTGGTCTGTACTCTGCTCCAAATAGTCCTTCAAACCAAGAATGTATGAACTTAGTGAGTTGCAGAACCTGGAGGACTGAAGGCTGGAAAAATAAGACTTGAGCTAATGTTTAACTTACACCCCACTCTGGGTTGTTTTAATGCCTAATTCAGGTGGGGAAATTGCCACCACAGGTGTGGAGAAACAAACTCACTGCCATCTAGTTAATACTGACTATGGATGGGGGTCAAAGAATTATTCCTGAATTTAGTCACCTATTACAGATTAGTGCCAATCTCTGTTTACGGCCAGAAGGTGAAAGGCTATAATGTTGTTGCATGAGTTGAGAACTGCTTGCTAATTCATTCTGGAAGACTATCAAACACCACTGGGGGCTTTAGTTATGTTTATTGTTGTTACCGGTCATCAACTTTACCCCTAACTCACATACAAGATTCTAATCCAGTCTCTGAAGCAAGGAAGTAGAGAGCCTGCCTAGAGTCCATGAAATATACTGTGTTTCCCTGAAAGTAAGACTTCCCCCAAAAATAAGACCTACTTCTAGTTTTGCCTCTCACTGAAATAGAAGGCATCCCCCGTGAAAATAAGACCTCCCCGAACAAAAGGCCTCCCCAGTAATAAGGCCCCCCCGAAGCTACCGTAACTCTGGACTCTGGACTGTAGTGGCGGGTGCCACCGCACAGCTCACTGTTGGCCGCAGCGCAGCCAGAGCAGACATGAAGTGCGCATAAATATATCATAGATTATGAGTAAATGTACCATAGATTGTTGTCCATGGAAATAATGGTAGTAACAAGAAATTCTTGATACTGTAAGATTCACAGTTTGTCTGGTTATGCTGGTTTGTCATGACAACTACTATCATACCATATACAGGTAATAAATTTCCTTCTGTTGTTGTTCAACAATAAATGTGTACCGTAATCTCCGTCAGGGAAAACTAAGATAGCCCCTGAAAATAAGACCTAGCGCATCTTTGGGAGCAAAAATTAATATAAGACACTGTCTTATTTTCGGGGAAACAGGGTATATCACCCCCTCCATAAAACCAAACTCACTGCCATTGAGTCGAGGCCAACTCATTGCAACTCTGACTGTTTATGGGAAGAGAAATTCCTGGCCACATGCGGCCCACAGGGGACATGTATCAGCCCGCTGGGTGTTTTTGCCCCGTTTGTTTTTTTACTTCAAAATAAGCTATGTGCAATGTGCATAGGAATTTGTTCACAGTTTTTTAAAAATTATAGTCTGGTCCTCCAACGGGTCTGAGGGACAGTGAACTGGCCCTGTTTAAAAAGTTTGAGGACCCCTGCGGGCTTAGACTGCAGTTAGAGGCACCCCACAGCGTTTTCAGAACACAAAATTACTTCCGTGTTTGCTTATAAAGTGTGAGATGGGTAGTGGGGCTTAAAAAATATTTTTGGATAAACGGAATTAAGCTAACTTTCTGATGCCCTTCCTCCTGTTTGAAAACAGTGCTGGTATCTGGTGGACTCCGGAGGCAGAGAAAAGTAACAAGCTGCCAAGTGACTAGATACAAATCCTTGGTTCTTTTTGATAGAGCAAAACATGTCACTTCCGCCCGTGCGGAGCACCGATCGTTTTTTGTTCACACGAAGGGTTTCTAAGGAGAAGTGTTCTGTCCTGTTGTTCCCAGCAGCAGGCTGCTCTGCCGGATCTGGACTGCGGCCTGCCACGCCAGAGCCCAGGCTTGGGCTGCTTCCCAGAGCAAGCTGTAGGCGGGACGGAGGCCAGGCCAGTCCTCGTTATGAATAACGGAAAGGAACATAGCTAGTGAATCTGTCTTAAATTGCACATGAACACTGATTAATATGGGCCTATAATTTGAAGGGGAAAAAGTATAAAATGCAGAAATACTTGACAGGCCAAGGCAAACTGTTCCTCCCCCACCCCACCCCACCCCCCGCCCCTGCCCTCCCATAACTCAGGTCTTTAATACAGTATAGCCCTTTACCAATTTCTTTCCTAGCTTAACTAAGCCTGTGAGTCATCTCAGGGGCTCCACAGGGTTTCCAGGGAAATAAATCTGTAGGAAAGTGAGTGGGGGGCTTCAATGGCTGATAGTTCAGGTGGACCACCAGCATTCCTATTTCAGACCTTTAAACCTAACGTTTTTGCAATATTCTTACTAATTACTTCTTAAACACCTTTAAGTGCCAGGTGTATAAATAATATTCCTTTAATGTAGATCATAGTATCGTTTTAATGAAAGCGCTATTCTTCCTCAAAACACAAATATCTACATGCTGCCTTTTTCGGATGGATTTGACCTGGATCCACCGATTTGCACCGCAAATGTCAAAAGGTGGGTCACTGCATCGATGTGGTACCCTAATTCTGCGAGTGGCAGTTCTGGGTCTGCTGTAGCAAACTGGGCTGTACCCTCAATTTCCTGTCTCACTTTCACATCAGTTTCCTCCAGTCCTTCCACGCTGGTGATGTTGTGGTTCACCATCCTGTCCTTGAGAAGCATAATGGGGTCTCTCTTGCGCCTTCCTGAATTTCTTCCTGAGGGAGGTAACTGATTCTGGGATCTCTCGTGCGGTGGCCATGGTAACCGTGGGCCTTGCAGCTCCATCAATATGGGCCCCTTCCCAGCTCTGCAGTGGGCAGCTGCAAACTTTGTAGTCTCCTGGACCCATAGGACATCCATCCCGTCTACCCTGAGCCCCGGAACAAAGTCACCTCGCTTATAGTAGTCAGTGCTGGCAGCTGCTCTCTCAACAGATGTTCCCATTCAATAGCGTTATTTTCACAGATGAAAATAGAAGGTAATTTCCACAAAGCCACCCTATTGTAAGCTTCAACTATCTGGCCCTGTGTGTGAGTACAGGTTGACTAGAGAAACAAATTCATAGACACTCATATGTGTGTAAGAGAAAACTTTATATCAAAGAGTAATTATATATTAAGAAAACACCCCAGCCCAGTCCAGATCATATCCATAAGTCCGATAAAAGCCCATATGTCCAATACCAGTCTATAATTTCCTCTTCAGACTCATGCAACACACGCAATGATGCTGAATGCAGGACCCCCATGTGGTTTTTCCAGCATTCCCCAGGGAATGCTGAAGGTGGACTTTGGGGCCAGAGCATGGTACCCCAACAGACTGGACTGGAAAACAGTCCTAAAGGCCGACAAATGATCCTTGAACTAACTACAAGCTTTTCTTTCTTGTTGTGTTTTGTTTGTTTGTTTTGTCATTGGTTTGTTGTTGTTGTTATTTTGTTGTAGGTTGTTGCTTGGTTTTTCTCTGTCTTTTTTTGGTGCATGTTATTATCTCCGCAGGTCTGTCTAAATAAGATAGGCTGGATGAACAATTCGGAGGAGAAAACAACGGGACCGACAGTTGGCCCGTCTGTCCTGCCCACATGGGATCAAACTCAGAGGGAAAGAGAAAGAGCGAGTGGACCTCAGCTGGGCCCCACAAGCCTCAAGGGCGATGTTTCTGCTTGGAGCAGCTGACGCACACAGAGGACCATACGGCTGGCCAGGCTCGAGAGGCGACATCTGCTCACTGGATCACAATGCTACAGAGGACACAATTCTGGAAGGGTGTCCAGTCTGATACCCCCTCAGTAGGGCGAATCACGAAGGGAGCAAAGTCATGAAGTCCCCGAGGAACCCTGAAAATAGACTGCTGACTTGGGGGGCACTACTTGGCACCACACCTGACCTGGTTTGACGGATATTCATAAAGGTCGGCAGATAAGACCTGGAATTATTAGTTTGGTTTTTTCTCTCTTTTTGATGTCTATCTATATAAGATGGAATTATTAGGGTTTTTTTTTCTCTTTTTGATGTCTATCTATATCAGATGGGCAAGATAAACAATCCTGAGAAGGAAGCAAGGGGACCAATGGTTCCCGGGGGTGGGGTGGGGGTGGGCAATGGAGAGCACAAGGGGTGGGGGAAGGGAGAGGTGAGTGAACAGTCTCAGGGACAGGGGATCAACAAAGGATCTAAAATTGATGCCCAGGAGGGTGTGGAGTGCCTGGTGTTGTTTGATCAATTGTAATGTAGCTGAAAGGAATTACTGAGAGCTGAACGAAGGGGGAACATGATAGTGGGGCAGGAGGAAAGTAAAAGGAAACAGTGGAAACAACAAGGAAGTAAAAATTATATATAAAGGTATAAAATAGCTATCTATGTAATTATATAAATATATAAAGATAGGTGCTTTTAGCTATGTATGTATATATATATATGTAAATACATAAGGAAGCAGATGGACTTAGGGCCTCTACTTAAATCCTACCTAAGTACAAGAACAGTTTGTTCTAATAATGTGGCAATGTATGATACTCAATTTTCCAACACAATCACCGAAGCCAAAATAGGTGCATAAGCAAATGTGAAGAAATCTGAGGGTGCCCAGCTGGGGTCTTAAAGGCTTGAAGTTAAACAAGCTACTATCTAGCAGGGACACAACAAAGCCCACATGGAATAAGCACACCAGCCTGTGTGATCATGAGGTATCTATGGGGTTAGGTATCAGAATATAAAAATCGAACAATTATATCGATGTGAAGGAGAGGGGTCAGAGTGGAGACGCAAAGCCCATCTGTTGATAATTGGACATTCCCTCACAAAAGGGATATATGGAAGGAACGATACATCCAGGGTGCAGTATAGCACTGACAAAACACACAACATTCTTCTAGTTCTTTAATGTTTCCTTCCCCCACTATTATGACCCCAGTTCTACCTCACAAATCCTGCTAGACTGGCGTATGTACGTTGGTACAGATAATAATTTTCAATTCACAGAATCCAGGATAGATAAACCCCTCAGAAACAGTAATGGGAGTAACAATTCTATGAGGGTATGGGAAGGGAGAGGTAAGGGGGAATAAGGGGGAACTAATAGCAGTGATGGATGTATAACTCCCCTCGAGGGGGATGAATAACAGAATTGTAGGTGAAGGGATACATCTGACGATGTAAGATATGAAATATATATATGTGTGTATATGTATAACTTATTAAGGTTTCACGAGGGTGGTAGGGTGGAGGAGGGAGGGAGTAAAGAGGAGCTGATATCAAAAGGCTCAAGTAGAATGAACATGTTTGAAAATTATGGTGGGCGATGTACAAATGCGCTTTACACAATTGATGTGTGTATGGATTGGGATAACAGTTGTATGAGCCCCTAATAAAATGTTAAAACAAAAAACAAACAAACAAAAAAAACAAAATAGTAAGACATATTCCACGTTGAAAAAAAAAAAAGAAAATTATGGTGGCAGCATCTGTACACGTTTGCTTGATGTAATTGATTTATGGATCGTTATAATATTTATAAGTGCCCTAGTAAAATGTTTAATACAAAAAGGAGGAAAAAAAATTTGTGGAAAAATGGAATTGAAAGATGATGAAGACATCTAGGGCAAGATGGCTGACTGAAAACAGGCATAACTACACCGATCTACAGCAACCAGGACCAAAAGGAGCAGGAAGGAAAAACAGGGAGGACGCAGGTTTACCAGAACAAATGTAACGTGAAGTGAATCAAAATCCTTATGTCCCGAAGGCTGAGGGTCTGCGCAAGGGAGGGAAGGGAACAGACCCACATGAATGAGAACCAGCAATTCCCCTTTGCTCTGGCTCTGGACCAATCACACTCCTGGGGTTGCCCATGGCACCGCTGACGAGGCTCAAGAATTGACCTCTGTAGCACCAGCTTCCAGATCTCGGCTTGGTCTCCCCAGCCGGAGTCAGAGACCAGGACTTGGTCTGGCTTCCACAGTACCATCAAGGAGTCCCCAGCATGACCACCACTGGGTCCACATGGCCAACCTACAACTGCCCCAGGCACACACCTGGCTCTAAAGTAGCTCACCCAGGCACACACCTGGCTTTAATGTAGCTCACCTCGTTCTAGCTGACTACAGCTGCAAAGCTCCTGGATTGAGAAAGAATCCACCCTAACAGACCCTTTTAAATTCTATTTTCCTCTAATTAATATCTGCCCCACCCCATTTTTTTCTCTCGTCAAACCCCCAGTTTTCTTTTCTCTCTCTTTCTTTCAAACTATGTTGTTTCCTTTCTTTTGTAAATCAAGATTCTTACAGGTTTATTGGCTCACTTACATTTCTTTAAAAAAATTCAACAATTTGATTTACAGATCATTCACACATCATACAATTCTTTATTCTAAACATATTGAGAGGAGTTGTATCATCATCACTGAGCCCTGGTACTCTGGAGAAGGACATGATGCTAGGTAAAGTAGACAAGCAGTGGCAGAGACAAAGGCCCTCAAGGAACTGTATTAACACCGTGGCTTCAACAGTGGACGCAGGGCTAGGACATTGTGAAGGTACCACAGAGCCAGACAGTGTTTTGTTCAGTGATGCATGGGGTCACTGTGGGTCTGCACGGGCTCAATGACACCCAACAACAGCAACGTAATCACCACAATAAGTTTTAGTCATGTTTCTTTTTCATTCTATTTTTCCGTCTCCTCTTCCTGTTTTTCTCATTCCTCCTCCTCTTTCTCCCTTCTTGCTCCTCTCATTTTGTGACTTCTAGTCATCCTTCCCAGCATCGCCGGATAGCCAATTACCCTCCTACTACTCAGACTGCACCATGATGCCATGAAAACACCGATCAACTGCAGTCCACACACAAGAAAAATGGGTACCAACAACCAAACGAGACTCAGATCCACAGGAATATTCTGAAGAAGATGCCCTGGAACTACCAGAAATAGAATTCAGAAGAAGGATATTTGAGTACTTTCAATAGATGGCGTGAATGTTCAAGAGAATGATGGAATAAATGGAAACGTTAGACACCCGACATCCATGAAGATTCCAGAAGGTAAATAATAAAATAAAAGAATTAGACAAGCTGAAAGAGTATAGCTATAGACTCAAAGACATGGAAAGCCAAATTAGTGAACTTGAAGACAATTCCCTGTACCACAACTGACAAAGGAAGCAGGCACAGAAAGAGCAAAGGAATCCAAAGAAAGCTTCGGAATTATAAGGGATACTCTCACGAGGAACAATCGATGTCTCCTTGGAATTCTGGAGCAGGAAAAACCAGAAAATCCACAGAGAAAATGGTATAAGAAATCATGGGAGAAAACGTCCCCAGCACCATAAAAGAGGAGAATGCTGATCAAGAAGCCACGAAAACCCCCAACAGGATAGAGCCCAAAGGAAAACATGAGGACATCTCCCAGAAAGACTGTGCCTCCAGGGAGAAAGGGAGACTCCTGAGAGGAAGTCAAGGGGAGAAGCACAATCCTCTCGGAAGACAAGCCCGTAAGAATAAGCTTGGATTTCTCAGCAGAAACTGTGCAGGGAAGAAGACAATGGGATTACATAGAACCTGCTTCCCCGAAAGTAAGACATACCCGAAAATAAGACCTACTTACATTTTTCCTCTCGCTGAAATATAAGGCACCTCCGAAAATAAGACCTCCCTGAAAATAAGGCCCCCCCGAAGCTACCGTAACTCTGGACTGCAGCAGTGGGCGCGGCTGTGCAGCTCACTGTAGGCCGCAGCACAGCCGGAGCAGACAGGAAGTGCAAAGTCTCTTAATAAAACAATAAACAATAAATGTGTACCATATTCTTCTTCATGGAAAAATAAGATATCCCCTGAAAATAAGACCTAGTGCATCTTTGGGAGCAAACATTAATATAAGACACTGTCTTATTTTCAGGGAAACGGTATAAACCCTGAATGGAAAAAAAAACTATCAAGCAAGAATCTGAAATGCAGCAAATTATCCCTCAAGCATGAGGAAGAAGTAAGAGTGTTTCCAGACGAGGAGAAATTAAAGAAATTTGCAAAAACCAAACAAGCATTACA